AATTGTTTCCGGATTTCGGGTGGGAAGGCATTTCGGTAAAACATTATTTGAAGAATTTTTAGAGTGGATTTCGTTGTTTAAGTGTAAAATAATAAAATTAAAATAGTTTCAAGCCAAGTATTTTAGCAACATGCGCGGAATACAGATCAAGTGTTTTATTCTCTACCAACCACAACAAATCGTAAAACATTTTAAAGCAACGAACGCTCAGTGTCGAAATTCGAGGTTTCAGATATTCCTAGTATCGTTTTTAATAGCTGCTTAAAACAATTGGTGCTGCTGCAATTCCTTCAAATAAATAAGTCCTGGCATATCTCCAAGTTTTGGGATCAGTTTGCAAGAGCGTCAGAAACTTTTGAAATTTGCAAATATTTAATACTTAGCCCACTCAATTATAAAATTAAACAATTACAAAGTAAAAAATTAAAAGCTTAAAATTAAAATTGTAGATTTATGCAAAGGAAAATTCATATTCCAAAAAATTTGGAAAATAAAAGCTTTGAAAAATTGCAGAAAAATGTTTCACAGTATCTCCTACCTGCGAAATTTTTGACCTTGTCAATTCAAGGCCGCGCTAGATTTCCGAACCGTCCACCCCACCCCACAGTATAAAATGTTAGCACGGAAAAACAGAGATACTATACTGTATTTTGGTATTTTGGGTTAGGCGTAGACATGCTTTTCTGGAAGGTATTTGAGGGTTATCAGGAGAACATATTGAGCAGAAATCAGGATACATTCGCGAAGCGGGTAGGGATAGAGAGAAATAGAGAGAACACGAGAGGGAGAGAGAGCTACGTTTGCACGGGCAGCACTTTAGAATTTAAGAATATTTCATATTGGTTAGGTAGCCATTTACAAATCGGAAATTTCGGCGCCGAATTGGAGCTTTTACCCTTTTATCAATCTTACTTTTTGTTCAAACATATTTTTGAACGTCGAAATTGCTACTGTTTAGGGTTCTTATGCATATCAGGGGGGTAATCTTTTCCTAAGAGTTATTCCTAATGTTAAAGCATGATGTTCTTTTGTAGAATCCTATAGTACAAGCGGAAAACTGCCTATAAACGTAAAAAAAATTGGATATTTTGGTCTAAAGGCGGCCATTTATGCTCGTCTAAGTCGATTTTTGAAGCGTAGAAATAGTTAAAAAGGCTTGGGGTTGCTCTATTTATATTAGACAAATCGGACCCTAAGGAAAATTTTACCCCCCCCCGTTAATGCCAAAGCCACTTTTTGGCCATTTCTTATTTTACCGAAATTCCACAGTTTCCAAAAACATTCGATGCTAGGTGCCGCCCACCACTAATTACATCAGCTGGCTATCAAATCGGTATTTTGTTTGAAACATAAATTTTAACTTCTACTCGTAATGACTTTCCCGAATTTCTTAAACGCTTGGATTTGATTTTTAACGGTATAATAACGAAAATTTGACAGAAACCCAATTAAGTTCGGCTAATTTTATCGCAACAACAGCATCTCTATTAAAAAAAAGAAAATTTTTTGATTAATAACCGGAATTGCAACATTTTTTTAAAAACCATGGCTCAAAAAGTTCCGAAATGCACCCTGAGCAGCATAGCGTCTCTAGCACTCTCGCGTAGTCATAATCGGGGATGGCTGAGGGTTAGAATAAGCGGAAGCGATTGTTAATATCTTTCCTAAGGCAAGCAGGCTGTTCGGTGCTCGGGAAGCCGGTGTGTCGCTAGGAACGAAGCGGAAAAGCGGAAACCCCCGGAATACCGTAACCCAAGGATGGCTGGTTGCTGAATGTTAAGTCGGTGATAGGAAAATTAAAAACAAACCATTGCCTGGAATACACCACAAATTAAGTTTTCCACAGATAATTGTACTAATTCGAAATATTTTTCTATTTCCAAGTTCCTGAACTTTTAACTTTCAGGTGAATAACCTAATGTTATTAAAAAATTTAGTTTTTTAATTGAATAAATTTAATTAAAATGGAGGCAGAATCAATCAAACAACGAATAAAAGCGAGATAAACTTATGCTGAAACTAATTTTTTTCAACATGGCGTAATCTAGAAAAAATATGAAACACGAGTCTCAAGGTTCATTTTTTTGCTGTGCTATCAACTCGAAGCCCGACATACCATTAGCAACGCCATTTTGGGTACGGTAGCTGGAAAACACAGGAAAAACGCCGTTTTGTGAGCCAGTAAAATCAAATAAGAAGCATTTTGAAAATCTTCTTCAATTGAAACTCAAAACTAAACTTTGTTTTGATCCTCCAAAATACCTAATGTCTTTCTTAAGATAAGTTTAGTCCCTTTAAGGCAGGTCTAATCCCTTCGAAAATATCAATTTTTATTCAAATTTTTTCGAAACATTGATTTTATCACGGCTTAGAAAAAATGACTGGGTATTTCACGAGCAAAATCTAATGTTTTGAATTCCAAAGTGCTACTAATGAGAGCCTCAACCACTATTTACCAAAATTAATATAGCCCGATAGAAACGTCAATATATTTGTAAATAAAATGTATTCGGATTAAATTAATTGTCCAATGTATTTTTTGAAAATAGAAAAGTTCGTCAAAACCGATAAATTTTAATGGCTCACAAAAACATCGTTTTCCGTATTTTTCGAATTCCGGGGGGTCTATTATTGTGCAGGGCAGGGTAACGGCCTCACACATTGCATCTGGCGCCAGGGATGCAAATGCCAAAAAAAAAGAATTTCAGGGTGTTCAGGCCCGAAACGCGCCTTCTTGTTGCGTGGATGATTTCGGGCGGAAGCGGATCTCGTGAAGAGGTCATCGTGGGCAGAATTTGTCGTCAACATCATGGAAGACCCGGACGAGGCTCCGTTATCCTCGACAGCCGCCGTGTTCCGGTTTCCGGGCCGAAAACTCAGCCGGAACGACCGTTTCTCGATGGGCAGACGGAAGCTCCTCTTCTCGGCGGGACCCCGGTCCCATGCGTACCCGACGTCCAATTCCTACGGTGGCAACAATCGAACGGGGGATTACGGTATGGGTTTTGAGACCCGATTTTTAGGGGTAGTTCGAGGCGGCGGCTTGGCAAAAAAAATGTGTTTCGGGGGATCAGCAATTTTGCAAAATTTTTGCTTGCGCTAATCGGCAGTAGCTTGGCTCCAAACCCTCACAAATTCAACAAATTGCATGTTTCACTTTCTAGTAAAAATTTAGGAAAACATAAAATGACCATTCTTGGCGTTATCAATGCATTATTCTGATAAACCCAGCGAATAGGCTTTACAACGATCGACTAAATAAAATATTTGATCCATCTAAATTAACACAGCTCAATTTCCGTGGTCGTCTCTAGCTTCAAAAATGAAAAAAATTGTCTTTCAGGGCTAAGCAATATCGAAAACCTCTTTCTTCACCTAATAGAACGCTTCCATTTCATCAAAACCTCCCGCAAAAAACCTAAAAAAATAAAAAAGTTAACATGTTTGAGGTTTCCGCAAAATTTAGCAAAAGTAAAGCACCAGTCTTTGCCTTTGACTCGAGTTTCCATTTAAAACCGCCTTCAGATGCGCTTAAAATTGGCTAATTTTAATTTTTTTTAAACTATCGGGGTAGACAAATTACATTATTTCCGCTTATAAAATCGATGTTTCAAGGCAATTTCGAATCCGTCATTCTCAAACAATGTGACAGTTACAGACCGGCGTTTCATCTAACAAAACAAACTAGGTGCTCCAGAAACTTTTAATGGGAGAGAATCAGCTGAGACAAAAGATCTATTTTGCATTTAGTTTTTAATTTGTGGCAATGCCAAAATCGTGAAAATCAATGTTTAACGCGTTCCTGTATATAACTCGCAAGCCTTGACAGGCAAAACCCAAATCACGCGACATATTTTTCCAAATACAGATTCGAGTTTTTGATACTGGCCTTGATAGCGATTCGTTCAAAAAGTATGTTTTGACCAAAATATTAACCGGCCACCGGCCAATGAGTCCAATCGCTTTAAGGTCCGTTAAGAATAATTCTGCTACCACCTTCCGGAATCACATATTTTTGCCGAGCCGCCGCTCACACCCAACCGGACCCGCGGAATTGGACAAGGTCACAATTTTCTGCATTATCGATTTACCAGTCATTCCAATTTTTTAAATTTGTTGTTTTAAAGCTCCGGCAAAGTCAGATCGTAGCTAAACTTGTGATCAAAATTCATCATGGAATTAATTATTAAATAACGGGAACAAATAATTTTTTCATGTGATTCCCCTTGAATTTTTGCAGCAAGGTGTGTCAAAAATACCTTGGGCAAGCTCAACATTTTTTTCGTTTAATGGTAATACGTTTGGTTAATAGAATTTCACCTAACAATTGAGTAACGAAATATTCATATTCAAAAACATAAAAAATGAATAAAAATGGGTATTATTACCGGAGCTTTAAAGCATTTCGAGGGAAAAGCAAATGTTAATTTAAATTTTTAGAAAATGTTTCGAAAAATCTTTAGATTCGGAAATATTTTCTTGGCAATAATATAGTGATCGACCAATTCCGCGGTACCCTTCAAGTTTTCCGAATAAATCATATTAATAATGATAATAATAATAATGATAATAATATAAAAATAGGGTTACAATATCCAAATCTAAAAAACTGATCAGCAACAAATGGTGGGCGAGAGACGCCGCCATAAAAACTACAAAAAATGAGTGGTGAATGGACATGTAATAAGAAAAATCTGAAATGTATTTTTTTCTGGAAAGGGTGTGAGGCGGTGGTTAGGGGAAGCGATAAGCCAAGGGTATTTGCCGCGAGTTGAAACAATGATTTGCAAATTTCGACGAGTAGTCAGAGAGAGCGAGAGAGTGAGAGCGAGGGAGAGAGAGAGAGAGCGAGAGAGAGAGAAAGCGAGAGCGAGAGAGAGAGATAGAGAGAGAACTAGAAAGATTTATAGATTTAAGAACTACGAGAATGCCCTGAAATTCGGTTTAATATTTATAGCTTTAATTCCAAGTACTTTCCAATTTTCTATGAATTCTCTGACCTGTTTCTTGGTGAACGGCTTCAGCTTGGCCATAAAATTGGTGTTCTGCTTCAGCTCGGGGTGCGCCTCGTCGGCGTCCTTGCTACCGGATTCTGCTAAATCAGAAAGTTTACGAGTTTCTGAAATCACTATGTCGAACTCATTAAATTTTCCATCAAAAATTTTTCCACACAAGGTTGAGAAACAAATTTTTTTTGTGTTTTCATAACCCAATGCTAAAAATGCAATAAATTTGCATTAAGCGTTTTTCGAAATTTATTGGTTTAGCTCGATTCAATATGGACTAAAAACAAAACCTCGACTAATATATCTAATTTGCTGTCCCCATTATTTTGCTAGTGGGAATTATTAGACAAAGAAAAGTGAGACTGTTATAGTCTTGAGACACTTGAAGCAAAAATTTTTCTGCGTTTTTGCTTTTTCTAAAAACATGTTTTTGCCACTTTTGGCTTTCTGATAAAATGTTTGCTGCATCTTAATACTTTATTTGCTACATCAAGTTAAAAAGGAAGCACAGCAGTATATTAATTCTGGAAAAAAATGGGCGAAAGTGGTATTTTTATGAAACAATTTTTTTGGTTTTTCGAAACTTCAGTAGGAAAGTGATGAAGTTTTTATTTTCCTTTTCATGGCCGTATCGTTATCCAAACGTTACTAGAACGTTATTTTGTATAGTACAAAGGCATCTAGCAATATAACACATGGCTTTTAATGGTATAACTACCTCGAAATTCGCTGAATTTTTCCGCTCTCTTATCTCGGAGACTATTTATTCTTTTATTTTTTATTTTTGGTTAAAAAGTACAAAAAATTCGCAGCTTTACGACCAGTAGCATAATCTATCATTTTAAAAAATTTTGGTTTTGCCGACATTCCCAAATGCTTTCCTAAAGCCAATTCTTTCTTTTTCTATTGGCACGGAAAAAGGCCCATTCAAGGCTACTTATCATGTATTTTTAGCTAGTGAATGGCAGATCGAGCGTATAATAAAGGATGTGCGAAAAACACCGATTGTTTTTGGCAATTTACCATCCACCATCAATTTCTTTCAAACATTTAATGTGCCTTTTTCGATGCCAGTCTTAATAACGGTACGTCTACTCCATTTTCAGCCATTCTCGCACACGCACAAAATCAACGCAAATGCACGCTTGCAGCCAGAATAAATATATAGATATTTACGCACACGCACGCGTACACCGCATACCCAAACGAAAAGCCAAGGGGGGGGGGGAGAAGCTAGGGGATTGTAGGCCCGGAAAAGCTGAGCTGAATACGGCAAGCAAACGCTATTGAAAAAATGTGTTTCATATATTTTCAAAATTATTGCACCATCCATTTATCCAATATGTGTAAAACCTGCAGCTACTTTTCTAACAGCTTTTTAGACAAATTACCTTATTTGAGGCTTTTCTGTTTTTCTGGATATGTGTTTATTGTATGCAAATTTGTAATTTTTATGTATGAATAAATTTTCCAGGACCTCACTACCGGCCCAGACATAAAAATAAGTATTTTTGTGTTTCATAAGTTTCATACCATCCGGCTATGAAATCGTGTCTTCTTTTTCTTCGCTACTTCCAAACCATTGTTCTTGGTTTTTTGTATTCGCACAAAAAAAGGAAATCCTCCCGTCTTCGGCCGCTCTTTATGTGTGGTTTCACAATTTTCGTGTTTCATATATTGCCAAATTATGGGGTATCTGCAAGACTTCAATACGACTCCCTCGGCTTCCTGACTATACATCCAACACCCCCCTGACAGCTCACCGTATTCGTGCTTTACGGTATAGCTTTTACTATAGAAATTCTGCCGCCACTTCTGCCCACTGTTCTTCTGCCGCTCTCTCTGTGTTTTTATGTGGCTGGGTAATTTTTGTGTTTTTGGTGGCTATATGGTAACATCATGTTTCAATAACTCAGCGTTTGAGACACAAACTTCCACCCTGAACGCAGCTGAGTATTTTTGCGCTAATGTATTCAAAAACGAATGTTCTCTCTTCTTCTCTCATTGTCCGCGTATTTTTATGTGTGGTTGAGTAGCTTTCGTGCGTTTCATAATTTTCCAAATTACGGAGTATCATCATGTCTTCATCGTAACTGGGCTTTTGTCGAAAGAACAATATTTCCACATTTTCTATCGGCGTTGAATACAAAAAGTATGTTTCCCTTCTCTTCCCCGGTTTGCTGCCGCTCCCCGTGTGTTTGTATGTGGTGGGGTAATTTTTGTGTTTCATATCTTTTGGCGGTCATCGGCATTGTCATGTTTTCAATGGGACTGGCGTTCCGATCATAAAATATGCATCTTACACGCCTACAGACAACTTAGCCTTTTAAGTGAAAAAAATGTTCTCTATTCTGTTGTTGGTCTCGGTGTGTTTGTATGTGTGTTCGGTATATATTTTATTCTATATGTTAACTAGAAAAATCTAAAAACTGTGAAAAATTCTTCAGATTCGAAATTTTGAGATATTTTTGTATTTTACTTTGGTAACACAGCCGCCATTTATGTTTTAAAAAATGGGTCCTAAGTAAACCATTTTCTCCCCCCCCCCCCGATAGTGCGAAAGTACCTATTTTTACCCCCAATTTCCATTTTTGACGATGTAGTACCTTGTCCACCTCCTCCACCAGAGGTGTGTATCGATGGGACAGACGGTGAGAGACACGATGCCACAGAAGCCGAGGCAGACAATGAAGCGGTCACCAGGGTAGACTCACGCTCGGGATGGGCACGCTGGTCGGATGCTGAACAACGGCAAACGGAGAGAGAGAGCAAGAGAACACAAGGGCTAGCAGCCGGACATACACGCATTGTACGGGGTGTCCCAAACCAAACAAAGGCTAAATTTGGACGTTTCGGGTTTGATATAACCTAATTTGCTTCAAATTAAATTTGAATTTGAATTCTAAATTTGTTAATAAACCAAATTCTATTAAAATCACTCAAATTTGATACTGGACTATTAGCGGAGGGGGGATTTTTAGCGTGGAACCCTTTTTCGTCAGTAGTTTCATTAAAATTAAGTACGTTAATTGTTAATTATAACGCAATTTCAAATTTAGAATTTAGATGCGAATACATAAAAGATTCTAAAATGCAAAATGCCCAAAAAGAGTACCATTTTGAAAATTTGAATTTGGGAGATGTGTCTAAAAATTTATATGTTTCAAAGAGTACCAAAATACCATAAAAAATTTTTATCTAGTAGGTTTATGATCTTTTTAGATCAGAGAAAAATGTTATTAAAACAGTTTATAATTTGTAAATAGGGCCGCACAGGATTGATGGGGATAAAATCGCTTCCCCCCGCGCTAACAGTCCAGCACCCAGATTTTCCATCCCGTTGGGAGCAGGGCTATAAAGTTATGGGAAAAAAGTTTTTCACCATCTACTGCATACGTTTTTTGGACGCGGAAGTTACTTACGGATTCGGTTTCAAGTTTTAGCTAACATTTTAAATTACCTTCTCCCACTATGTGCAAAAAATTAAAAAGGATCGGACCCGAAAACGTCCAAATGTGGCCGCGTTTTTTCGGACACCCATAAAGAGCACAGCCGTGGGGTACGGTAGCCCCTAGGGCAACATTTAACGCGTACACGATTGGCAGTCAGCTACCCAATTTTATAAAAAGTCGGTGAAGCTTGGGAAATTGGATCAAGGGACATGCCGCTAAGCTAGAATGCATAGAAAAAGCTGCAAGAGACCGTTCCCGTAATACTCTTTGGTTACTTGGAAATAAATAGTTTCATAATCTTTTTATATGATTTTTTTTGCGGAGACCATGGCTTATTGCTAAACGCTCTATGAACGAGAAATTCCTGAAACCACTTAACTGTGAATCCTAAGAGTTTACAAAACATATTTTCTCCACGCGATTAGGTTTTGTAGTAAAAATGTGTACAATTTTCTTTTTTTCTAAAAAAAACGAAAATAGGTAATAAATCTAATAAAGCTAAGAATAAAAAAAATAGGTAAAATATCAAACAAACGTCATTAAAGAGGAGAGCGTTCCTGTGGACGGAAGAGCTTTGCGCAAGCGCGTAACAGCTCGTGTTCTAAATTAGTGCTAGAAAAATTCTCTATTTCTTGAATAGCGCTAACGTTTTAAAAACGCTGATTGAAACAGCTTCCAAATTTACGAAAAAATCCTTGTTTCAATTCTCGACAAACTCCTAAAATTCTTCGCAGATTTACTATGTATTCTAGCCCTAGCCCGACTCAGTTCCAAGCTCCACCGACCGAACGAAACGTAACAGCTAGTTTTCCAACAATTTAACCAATTTTTAGCTTTTTTAATAAAATTTAAAATCCCTAAAAAATGCTTGTGCAAGGGAACATGCCGAAAAGACGGGCAGCAGCCAACGGGGACAGGGTGGAGGCATGCTGGATGCAATGGCGACCGCAGAAAATGAATGTTTTGACAAGGTGATTGGTTTTGGCTCAATTTTAATCCGTTAATTATTTATTCCATGTTTACCATAATTTTGATATCTACAGTTAATTTTACTTCTTATTACTCAATTTACTTTATCACGAAAATAACGAGAAAGGATATAAAATTGACGATGCTACCGTTTCATCACATTTGTTTTTTCGTATTCGTAGTTTTCGAAATTTTGAGCTGGATTTTCTTTTAGTTTTTAGATTGCAAATTAGCTTTATTTTTGGTTTGATTTTTAGCTAGATCGTCTACGTTAATTTTTTATAAACAGCTCAAGAATATGGATCACGTCGCAGCAATATTACGCCATAAAAATTAGGAACTACCTGTTAAAATGTAACATATTTTTCTAGAGGAACTCGTTGTAACTTTTGGTTAGGGTAGTCAGTTAATTAAGAGCGCTACGACTTTAGAATCGCTTTAATCAGCCAAAGTCTTTATTCTAAGGAGAAACTCAAAACACATTTTCCAAAAAAAAATCTGATCAAATCAATGTTTCTTGGAAATGCCGCGCTTTATTTTGACGGTTTTAGCGCTAGACCAATAATATCGTCTAAATTAAGTGTAGAACATCTAAATCGGCCTAATTATATAGGCTCATTATGGAATTAAAACTGGTAATAAAAGTTGGTTAAAATAGCCACGCTTGGCTATTTGAATCTCGCAAATCATAATATTTAAATAGCAAAATTTCAGACCGTCGAAGGTCGAATATGTCGAAATTTTTCGCCTATGATTTTCGGTTTTTCGGGAAAATTTGTTTATGTAAATTTCGACTTTTTGAAATCACGACATTGTGATATTTCGGCGTTAAGAAATATCGACATCATGAAATTTAGCATTATGATTTTCGACATTTGTAGTGTCGACGTTAAGATTTTAGATATTACGCAATTTCGCACGCAAAAGCCACGCGACACAGCAAACCGGACGTATCCACATTAATGACAGGACCGACACGGCACAAAGGCACACGTATAAATAAATAAATATTAACTTAAGCGCCTATTTTTATGCATACTTCCTTATACCTAGATTTTTAACTCAAAAACGAAATAACAGAACTGCACCCCATACCAACCTAGGCAATGCGGCGGCAGGGTGCGTGGCGACGCGGATGAGGAGGACGCGTTGCGCAGGGAGAACCGCGGGCTCTTCGTCGTCCCTTCCTTCTGGAGACGCCCCATCGGAGTGCCAGATGCACCCGAGTGCCGGGCCGACGACACCGAGGAGGACGGCTCCTCCTCGTCGGACGTATCGCCCGCCTCGGCCACGCCAACATCTACGCGCCCAACCCGTTTATATGGTTTTATTTAGTTTTATGGTTATTATTAATACTATTTAATTTTTATATAGATGGCTAGATATTTTAGTTATCTAGTTCTTCTTGATTATCTCTATCTCACTCTCTCGCTTTCTCTCTCTCTCACGCGCTGTCTCTCTCTCTCTCGCTCTCGCTCTCGCTCTCGCTTTGGCTCCTCTTTCAGAAGAAGTTCCTACGTGGTTACGAAAAAATGTTACGAGATCTGTCAAAAACAAAAATTTTTTGGGGGAAACAATTTATCCACATGGGCTTTCAAAGTATAGTTTTGTAGGAGTCCCATAGTATCCGGAAATTAATTTCTACTTTCCGAAATGTTGTTGAAAACCCTTTCCAGCTCAAGCCGAGAAGTAAATAAAGCTATTTTCTAATTCCCCAAATTTAATCGAGAACTCTTACCGGCTTAAACCATAAAATGTAAAAATTTTGGAATATTTTCGAAGAAATGTTTTAATAACTACTGCCAATGAAAAAGCACTAACTTCAACACTGGGTCCAGCTAATATTTTTTCACTACCAGGTGGTCATTGTCTAACGCGGATAAAAAAAATGATTGAACGAAAAGGTGGTCAAACGCAACGTCGTCCCAAAAATATATGTTAAAATGGTGATAATTTGCTCCTTAATTGCGGGAGCGCGACTTTTCATCCCTAAACTATTCGGTTTCTTTTATTTTTTCGTTTTTAGTTTTTGTTCTATAGTTTCCTTAATTTAAGAATTTTAATGAAAGCTATACATGTTTGGTTAGCGCGACATTCGGAGAACAAGCTTGAGACCAGGGACATGGTTGAAGCATTTTTGGTGATTTAAATATGCATTTCCTTTTAAGTACGATTTTAGTTATAGTATTTTATTAAAATTTGAAGCATTGGTCTCTATATTACTTTGTAATTTTCTAGAAGTGTATTTGAGGTGACGGCTAGACAGAAAGAGGAGGGTTGTTAACTGGGGGTCCGGGCTGGAAATCCGTGTTTTTGCAATTTTGTAATTTATACAGGGTGTCCCAAAAAAAAACGACCCATCTGGCATTTCGCCGAGTACATTCAATCGGTCCCAAATTTGGACCAGAGGTGTATCAGACCCTAAATAACAACAATCCTGACTTACAGCCGCGTAGCTACAGTCGTTCTCGAGTTATAGCAAAAACAAGCTTTATTTTCCATTTTTCATTGGGTTTTCGTGGAATTAGACCCCCTAAACATTAACTGAAAATGATCCAGTAGGGCTTCTTTACCTTAAGAAATTTTTTCCAGACTAAAATTAATTAAATAAGCTTCGATTTAAGCGAAGTCGATGCAAATCGATGCAAAGTCCAAAAACATAGCCGAAAAAACTGTTCAGAATTCCGGGAAAAACAGTATTTTCGTTATAACTTTAACACTACTGTAGCTACGGCGCTAAAAGTCAGGATTGTTGTTATTTAGGGTCTGATACACCTCTGGTCCAAATTTGGGACCATTTGGATGTAACACGGCGAAATGCCAGATGGGTCGTTTTTTTTGGGACACCCTGTATATGAGTGAATCATTTCCCTTTCATATAAATAATAAGGAAACGGCTTCTAAAATTTAATACGGTGTTAGTTATATGAAATTCATAGACTTCGAAATATAAAAATTGGTTGGATGAAGCAAAATACGTGATATTAAGCCAAAACATATTTACCGGGCAGCAATTCATTTTGAAACACGGATTTCCATGCGGGTTTTAAGGGATTGAGAAGCAAAAAATATACGATGCTTTAATAAGTATTTAATAGTAAAAATTAGAAGCTATATTTTTTACTATGTCAGTATATAATTTATTCATTATTTTTGGGCGGAAAAATTCCCTGGAATACGTAGAAGTTTAATTTTTACTTTTCTTTGTTTTTTGAAACATTTTTTTAGTTCTCGGAAGCTGAAACAATTTGAAAACTAAATCTTCAACTAATTATGTTATAGCATTTTCGATATGTTTTTGACTTCACAATCCCTTTAAATTATCCTCAAACGACGAAGAACAGGAAATACATATTATTAATTGATATACATAGCCATGTATATTCCATAAAAAACAGCGGGTTGTGTGGATTGTAAAGAGTCATAGAAGGTTGTGAGGTGGGAAAAGTTTTTCGAAAGTTTTTGGAAGGATTACGGTGTGCACAGTTTTCTAATGTGAATTTTTGCAGCTGAAAAAGTATGATACATTTTTTAAGATCCTGAATTAAGTAAAAAAATAGTTATTTAAGATATACCGCATGCAAAAGCACCTTCCCGGTTATAACGTTGCAAAATTAAAAAGTATATAAAAATGCACTATGCAAAATTAAAGAAAAAAATTAAAATTTAAACGCAACTGCCAAGGGCGGGGGCCAATTGAAAAAAATTAAAAAGCGCCAAGCCACTAGCAAAAAAAGTTTGAAAAACCTGATAAACGGGGGTTTTGTGCTATTTTAAGTTTAACAGCCATAAATCGCTTTTAAAACGATATTAGGTACTTTTTAAATAAGTTTAATTCAACTTACGAGGAGATACGGCGTCCTCGCCGACGACGTCCGGCGTCTCGTTCAGCTCCTCGTCCTCGTCGAGCTTGCCCTCTCTAAAAAATATAGGTAGTGATGATTACGGTAATATCTACTCATCGGATGAATTTACTATACAGATCGGATTATTTAATCTAACATATGATTTGGCAAGTTTTTTGCTTCCAAAAATCTGAATTTTCAAAAAAAATGTTTCATTGATTAAAACTCTCAAGGATTGATTCGTTCGTATAATTAACCCAAGGCTGCCTACACTACTAAACCGATGCAAATTTGTCAAAGCTATCGAAAAATGAAAATAAATGTAAAGGCGAAAATTTGGTCGAAAAATTGTTATTTTTGTATTTTTTAATAGACATTTGTAAGATTTTACGTTAAGAAATAGCAAAAACAGTTCAGAAAAACTGCCTCTATTTATGCTAAAAAAATCAAACCTTAAGGATAAAAGCTCCCCCCGATAATACAGTAGCACCTCAGTAAAAATAGCATGAAAGCAACCGGCCGCTCCGTTTGAAAAGATATGTTTCATTTAGGAGTGCCCGATCCAATTTTTCCTTTGAAATAATTTGCCGCATATAAATGCTCCAAAAAACGCATGTAAAAGCGAGATCAGATAAAAACAAAAATATTCGCAATATTCCCTTCGGAATAATAGATGTTACGGGAAAAGCTTTAGGTGGAAAGCTATTGAAACATTTAATTGAGTTTTTCGATCAACATCATTTAGTTACCTCAAAAACTGCTCGAGTTGATGCTTCTCGATCTCCGGTTTCAGCCGTTTGTTCTTGATCAAAATCTTGCGCTTCAACCGGTTCGGCGAGGGCAACGGGACGCCGGGGTCCAACTAAAACAAAGAATTTTCATGAACCAAGTTGATTTTTTTTTGTATACGTCCAGAAAATCCCAATAAGGTCAAATGCTAGCATCGTTTTTTTAGTAAAATGTATCTATATTTAGGTGCAAAAACCATTTAAAAGCCCTCAAGTTCAAATTTTGGTCGAAAATCAGCATTTTTGGTCGGAAAATCAATATTTTTGTTTTTTCCTATTCCAAATTTGTAACTTTTTGACGTTAAGGAATATTAAAAAAACTATCAGACTTTCCCCGATCAATCCCCAAAAATTAAATGGATGACTTTAACCCACCGCCGATTCGTCGAGCGGTTTCGACAGCAGCATGTCGCCAAAGATGTCGCAGCAATATTTGGCCATTTTGAGTTGGTTGCTCTTGGAGCAGTGGTTCTCGAAGGAGAGAATCACCGGGAATTCCGACCTCATGAAGGCCGTGTCGCGGATTTGGTACAGTACGTCCTGCAAAAAATTTATGTTTTATTGGATTTTAGGATGAGCAATCGGCCGGAATTCTGCAATTCTGATCCACTTGCCTGACGAAACAATGCATTGACTCATTTAAATTTGCCAAAAATCTTTCAAATTTTTATTTTTTTATTTGGGCTGTTTGTTATTTTTACGAGGCATTTCAATATAATATGGAAGCTTATTTTCATTTTGTTGAAAGCTCATTTTGCCGCAATATCATTTTGTCGAAAGCTCGTTTTGTTGAAATATCTTTTTTTCGAAATTCTGTCGAAATTTCACGTACTTTTGCGCGTCGATAATCCAGCGCATTTCGAAAATTATAATCTCGACATACTGATAGCCGATCGTTTTATCGGATTTTAGGGGAGATGTGCCAGCGAGTATTATTCCCAAAACCGGTTCTCATCAAAGCATACAATGGGGCGAAACATTTGGCTCTGTACCGATAGCACGGGGCAATGACAACAGAACGGGGCATTGGCAACAGAACGGGGCAATGACAGCAGAACGGGGCAAAGCCAGCAGAACGGGGCAATGGCAGCAGAACGGGGCATAGCCAGCAGAACGGGGCATTGCCAAGTCCCCGCGGCCGGCAGCCAGCAGAACGGGGCATTGGTTTGGCCAGGGGGGCGGCGGCCAGCAGGACGGGGCATTGCATATTTTCTCAAAAAAAACGTATTTTTATGGTCTCTAGCATATTTTTCTCTGATGATAGATTATAGAACAAATCGACGATACTTGGTATGGACTCCGAATTTACTATGGAAATGGTAGAAAACAGCCTAATTCAAGCAGCTTAGGATAGCGCATAGGCCTTCGTGCATTACTGAAATATACCAATAAATCAGAAAAATCAGACAAAAACTCCATCAGTTAGGCTAGTTCAAATAACTAGAAAAATACAGAGAAAAAAAGTTCGATATCCTGACAAACCCTTTTCCGGGGTCCCAAAAATGACACCAAAACTTTAATATCTCAAATTTTCAGGCTCTGTAGCAGTCGGAAATCGAGGCGATTATCAGCGTGGTCGCATCTATAAATGTACAAATTCTCAGCCCGATCCGTGCTGCGGAGTATTTTGGACTTCCTTAGTTAGAAACGTTCGGCCTGGTTGACAAACACTTCTGTGAATCAAAAAATACAATCAGAGAAAAAATAGGCGAGAGAGACCATAAAAATACGTTTTTTTTTTGGAGAAAATATGCAATGCCCCGTCCTGCTGGCCGCCGCCCCCCCCCTGGCCAAACCAATGCCCCGTTCTGCTGGCTGCCGGCCGCGGGGACTTGGCAATGCCCCGTTCTGCTGGCTATGCCCCGTTCTGCTGCCATTGCCCCGTTCTGCTGGCTTTGCCCCGTTCTGCTGTCATTGCCCCGTTCTGTTGCCAATGCCCCGTTCTGTTGCCAATGCCCCGTTCTGTTGTCATTGCCCCGTGCTATCGGTACAGAGCCAAACATTTAATGTTACAAAAATCATTTTTAAATTTGAACTTTTTGATTGGTGCTATTTATTATTTCGGCAGGCATTTGCGTATGGCCTGGGGCTCATTTTCATTTTATCGTCATATGATTTTGTCGAAAATCATTTTAGCTTAATTAAATTTTGTCGAACCTTTAAATCATTTTTCGCCTCAATTATTTTCCTTTTTTTCAGCATCTTTCAGATCTTTAGAGCAATAAAATATAAAAGTTAAATATCAATAATATAGCGATTTTCTCTGTGTTTGCTGAATGTTTCATAAAATAATAACTATGATTGCCTTTCCATAGTACTAATGTTCCGTTGTCGGTTAGCAACAAACCTTAAAAAACACGTCTGTACACATGGCTTTGCCGTGGGTGATGATCGGTTCGCCCTGCAAAAAAATTGGGGTACGTAAAAATAAAATGTAAAATTCTACAGTATCTTGCGACATGTATTTTAATCATAATACATGTAGAATTTAAGGGCAAAAGCCAAAAACCCACCTTATTTTCGCCAGTGCCGTCCCAGCAGTCCAGTTCGATGCACCGGCAACCCGAGAGGAGTACCTAAAGTCGTAATTTTCAAAGAAAATGATCTACATTAATTAAATGAAAATAACAGAGCAATTTCAAGATATTCTAAAAAATTTTTGGGTTTTTTATTTTGCAATAATTTTTCAAAAAGTATTTTTTTTTGCGAAAATTGTTAACGACGTCAGGAAAATCAGAGTAGTAGGTGGGCTGGTCCAAATAATAAATTAGTTTGCTTTTAATCTTTTTATTTTAATTGAGTTTTGCCCTGCAATGCTTACCTCAAAAATCATTTTTTTGAGGTGTCCAGCCAAAAATAGGTGCTTTTCCATTATCGTGGGCGAGGAAATTTTTTTATGATTTAATTTTTTAATTTTTATCCTCCCCCCGATAACGCAATAGAACCAAAAAAAATCAATATTGGCTTACCTGTCTATAAATCTCTGCAGAAGATTTTCCACCGTATTGTCGACCCGTCAAGTAAGTGTTATGAGAACTGGAAAAAAGCATGTTACAGTTTAGGTTGTTTACGCGCAACCTAATCGCAAGGCATTGGATACCCGGCCAAAACGACTAAAGCTACTAATTACTTGAAACATCGTTTCATCAGAGCATTCTTCCAAAAAGCAAAACCGGTAGTAGGGAAAGGAAATCATCCTAATATTTCAAAATTAAAATTTTAAAAAGTATTCTAAACAGCTGGATTTTGAAGATTTAATAAATCACTGTTGTACTGTTAATACCAATTACCCCAATTTTTAAAATATTTTTGTTTTGTAACTCCTAAGAAAATAAAACTTCAAAAATATATAATAAAGAAACAAATTAGCTTTCCCTCGCTAAGAGTCCTGTACGGGAAAACACACTTCACATTTAATTAACCCTTCCGACCGATCAATTAATTAAAAAATTTAACGCTCTTCGGTAATTTTCATAAAACCTTTATATTTTAGGGCCTCTAGCTTTAAAAATGAGTTCTTCCCGGAGCTACTGTTTAGCAATTTGTATTTGTCAAGTATGCGCCACCAGAAAGATCATCAGGAGTAATCAAATCCACGGATTATGCTACAATTTTTGTGTTTATATGATAGTTTCAATAAAACATTAATTTTTCAGGGTTTCCTCAATTAAAATTCGTATTTCTTAGTTTTTTAATTTCTATAAATTTTGATATTTCATAGCAATTAATTAATATTCTTAATTATCTAGCTCGTTTTTAAAAGCATTTACATGGGCTCGGTAAAATGGTAATTACGAAATTTTGCCGTGTTTTAGGGTAAAGAATAAGCGAAACATTCGAAAAATGAAAAAATACCGCTTAACAAAACGGCTTAACAAATAAATATTAATTTTATTTTAGTTTGACTTTTAATAAATTATGAATATAACGCCAAATAATGTGTTACCTATTAATCAAGTAGTGGCATAGTGGTTGATCCATATCCTGATGCAATTCTATCCGATCCAGGAATACCGGCGCATTCTCGTCGGACAGCAGAAACCGCAGGAACGCGTCCCCGGACATTTTCCCTGAAAATTTGGTGTTTTCCTTGGTGTTTGGTGGTTTTGTCTATATAATGAATTCTAACCATTAATACCACCTTCCGATATGTTTCCATAAATTTTTTTCAAACATTTTTTTCAAAAACTGCCAATTCTAAAAAACATCAGTTTAAAAATTATGTAAAATCTAGTAGCTTATTACATCGGCTCACGTTACTGCACTTTTTATGACTCACAGAGGAACGATGCAATGCGCAAAAATTTGCGATTTTGTTGTGCTTCATCCCCGCAACATCTTTTTTTCGAATAGCCGGACAAACTTTTAACGTTTTAAACCGGCGGCCGGTCGAAGCCTCGACTCGTTCGAAACTGAATGCGCAATACATTAGCTGTATTTTTCAGGCCAGAAAGAGATGAAGCTATTATCTAGAAAGCTGGGTTTTCCATGGTTCAGATTCCCGAAACATTTTTCTAACTTTCCAGTGAAAAGCGCGGTGGAGGATCTTGAAGCCCGATCTCTGCTACACTAATCCTTTAAGTAAAATTTTTTGGCAAAATTTCTAGAATGAACTATCATATTCAACTTTATATAAATTTGAGGTGTATCTGTGTGTGTGGGTGTGTGGATGTCACTTTCGAGGCCCGATTTGAGGGCCTTCCCGTGCATAAAATGCTCTAATTCCGTCACTTGGGGGAATCGACCCTCCTCTGTCCGATGGCGTTTTTAGAATTTGGATAAAATACAAGCTTACAAAGTTAAAGCCGGTTTTGTTCATTTTGGGGTTCGTAGGGCTAATCTGCATAATGTGAAAAAAATACAAATTGCGCTCGCGTTTGTGGGGAAAAGGGTCTGAAGGACCCGAGCTATAGGAGAATCAAATTTATCCTGCAAGGACCGCGCTCCAAAGGCCGGCGAAGCGGGTTTTGGGCGCTGGGCACCCTATAATTTTGGCATGCGCCGTAGCTGCTGTGATGGCCCTTTTGGCTTACAATTAGAATAATGCTCGGTACTGTAGGCCCATTTACTACGAAAGACGCATTATCTTGAAACCCGATCTCCTGGAGCCAATCATTGACGAAAAATTTTTTCCAAATATCGAGAATTTTTGCTATTTTGCGTTTTCCTTTTCCCTGAATAATGCTCGGTACTCTAGCTGAATTCAGAGGCAAAGAACTGAAAATTATCGAGAAATCCGATCTCCTAAAGACTAACTCTTGACGAAGCATTTTTTTGCAAATTTCAAAAAGTCGAAAAACCAAAATTCCACCCACCATTGGCAACGTAGTTGTCGTCGGTCTCGTACTTGGCTATTAGTGTGTGGATGCGGTCGTTGTCGAAGAAGGGGAACAGGATCTCATTGAGCCGAGGATCGCGCTGCTCCTCGTTGAGAAAGTGGATCAGCCGCTCCTTTGTCAGGTACTCCTTTTGGCCAGAGCTAAAACGGGGCCTTTTATTTTATTTTCGAACTAACTAATTTAGCTTTCAAATACGTCTTTTAAATTCGCGGTTTTGGTTTGTTAAATCACGATTTTTTTGTTTGTTGTTGTTCAGTGTTTTGGAATTGAAAATCAAAGGTTGCAAAGCTAAGGTCAGAATAGATATGTTAAAGCATAATTAATCCTTGTTTTCTCCTAATATTTTTAAATCTTATTAATAGGGAGTTAATGATCGTGATTACGGTATTAGTTTAGCTTTCTGTATTTTATCAAGAAGTCTACCACTAAGCAACATCGATAATTAAACTTGTGAATTCGAGACAAGCTAGGCAACATTTTGGAACATATTATTCTCGACTAGGCTTCGGGATATCGCTTACTTTGAATTTTTTCCCATGGATACCTAATGAATTTTCCGCAACGCTACACGCAACGGTCACCCCGATTCGACACTTTAAATAGGTGGTAATCAATTACGCTTTAGAAAAGCCACGTGTCGCGGCTGCGGCAAAATCCATAGGCAAACGCGAACCTACAAAATTGATAGCCTTGCACTCTACTATAGTTGGCTCGAGTTTTTTTTTGAGTTTTAGAAAAGGACCGGGTAAAGAAGTTTTTATTTGGTTAAACTCTTCCTGTGCAGGACTAAAATTCTATAATTCCGGTGCAGCTAGGGAACTTTGTGAAACATCCTGTTTTTGCTAGCTAATTTTTGCGGCTGCTGTGGTAAGTTAATCGAATCTGATTTCATGCCGAATTTTTTCTAATGTTGGTTATGAATCAAAAATTTTTTATACGAGCTAGCTGAGATTTCTTTGTTTCCACAGGAAATTCCTAGAAAAAGTTGGGGGCACGGACTTTTATTTGCATCGGATAATTAGTGCTTAGGGTTCTAAAGTTTATTTTTGCATTTTATTTATTTAAAGCTTTATGTATCTTCGTCGGCGTTGGAGTCTTCGAATTAGTTGAATGAGTATTTGAAAGTCGGAAAAGGTTTAATTTTGGGATCGAGTTGGCGTTTGAGTGGGGTTGAAGCTTTTGACTCAAAGCTTCCTCTGAAAATTTTCGAAACATGATTTTTGGATTAATGCCGGGAGTTTTGAGATTTATTAGATTTATGGTTTTTTAGATTTTTTTTAGGAGGAAGAGGAAAGTTTTTAAGGTTATAATCGCTGATCCATCACGCTACGCTGCGCTCATTCCGAAACGAAAAAAATATCTACCATTATTTTTCTCTGAAACTCACATTTTCTGACAACGTAAACTTTTTGAAATATCATTTTTAGGGGTAACGCTGATGGGTTTTAGTTTTTAAAGGTTCTTGAAAGCTCTGTGTTTTCACTGAAACATTAGAAAACGCTTTACATTTGAAAGTTAGGAAAAGCTTAATTTTGGGATGCGTCGGCGAATGAGTGGGATTGAAGTTTTTTACTCAAAGCTTTCTCTGAAAATTTTTTAAACATTTTTTTTGGGGAATTTTATTTTTCTAAGATTCTTAGTTTGTTTTCAGATGCTTTTTAATTTTTTTAATAGCGGAAAATTTGCACTTTTTTCCTTCGACATCTATCCTTTGTTCGACGACTAATGCCGAAACCAGGAAATATCGAACATGTCATTTTTTTGTAACTTACTTTTTTCTGACAACGGTAATATTTTGAAATAGCATTATCACAAGGTTTACAAGGTGAGGCATATATATCGAAGCACTTACAGAAGGCCCTCAAAAATTTAAGAAAGCTCGGTGTGCCGTTTTATTTTGCCAAGATGTAACCACTAGTGCTACTTCCAAGTTCCGAAAATAACAGAACCAGGCATCCGTGAAAATTTTTTGTTTCATGTCAAACTTGAGGCTTGTGGTGGTGGGCTTGGCACGCAACCCCTTGGAGCTCGACTCCGGCAGGCCTCGAAAACCCTGATTCGGGCACCTATGTGTGTCAAAAACGTTAGTGCAATGTAGGAACACAAATTACGGTCGCAGCTGTAGTCTCGTTACCTATTTCAGACGGAAATTTCATATTATGACTCAGCTGTTCTCTAAATGCATAGTAAAAATCATAAAATTGTAGTTTGCGGCTTTTATGTATATAGTTCTCTGATTTGGTCAACGACACATGATTTTGTCAAAGGCCTAGAATGTTAAAAGTTGCTGAAACAAAAGCTTCCTTCGAGCGTTGATTTTGTAATACATTTTTAAGTCGGTACGATAGGCCTGAGTTGGGTCAGGGGGTGATTTTCGGCTATAAGAAAATTTTTTCGTTTGTTTTTGGCTATTCGACTTCTGCAATAAATAGATAGGCCTTAATCAAGCTAGAATCGAAAATCCTGAGACGGTTCTACCTTTAGGCCGATCTCTAGGAGTAGCGTGCCAAAACACCACTTTTTCGACAAAACGGCTAAACTTTTCTAGATGATAAATAAAAAACACGGCAGTCGGCGATCGTTTTTCTTCGACCCCTGCATCAGAAACCACTTATTTCATTATGGTAAATGTACACAATCCCCAAAAACTGGTTAGTTTTTTGCTTGCATGCAAAATTTCATGGCCCGGGGGTGCTTCGATATATATGCCTCACCCTGTAGTGTGTTCTTGAAAACGCAGCGTTTACAAGCTAATAATCAAATGTATTTGCACCAGTGAATAATGAAGCGAAAAATATGTAATCCAAACTTAAATTTTTCCGAAACTCACAGTTTGACGAACAGCTCCTGCACGTCGGTTCTCGGGCAAATCTTGTGGTATAGCCGCAAGAATTTCTCGAAAGTAAATAGGTCAACATCCAGCTCCTCTCGCTCCTAAAAAGCATCCTTATTTTCACGCATTAATGGCAAAATTATAATCCCGGTTTAGTGATCCCTACGCCTACGCGTTTTACCCGATTTTATAGAAATTAAATAAAAGCAAAAAATATAATTTCAGCAATGTCCACATGCGAATGATGCAAAAATAGAAAAATTATGATGATGCTGATGCAAAAATACGTCACGACACCGTTACAGTACAACAACCAACCGCTCGCGATTTCTAAATTTATTTGGGTGTAGACTATTTTATTGGTATTTAATAAAATACCTAAGATGGCTAGCTGCTGTAATTGTCATTTTCAATTTTGTTTCACTTGATTCTCTCGCTACAGTAGTTTTCATTTTCTTGTTTTTGCCACGGTAATTGCCGTTTGCAACCATTTGAGCTTGATTTTCTCGCTATAGTAGTTTTCATTTATTTTTTAGCCCACCTATTGTAATGGTTTTTTTTGGGCTTCCTACTGTACTTTTTTAAACGTTTATTTAACTTTTCGCAATCTAGATTAACACAATCCTTTTCGCCAGCAATATTGTGCTAATCTCACTCCCAAGCTTAATAAATATTTACTTAAACATACAATTTAAATAGCGTGCGCAAACGTTTTTTTTGTTGTTAGCGTTTTTAATTTTATTTGCTAAAATTCAAGCTTCCTACTTCCGATAAGGCAAAGCTTTTCGTTTTTTATTCTGAAATGTGATAAGGTACGTTTAGAAAAGGCGGAAAGGCCCGATAGAGAAAAAATGAGTTTCCTAAGTTCCCGTCATTGTGCTTTGCGACGTCCCCAACAAGTCAAAAATGTTTGAAACCTAACATTTTTGCTGGAGAAAACAATTTCAAAACTTTCATGAAATCTTATTATTGCCGTATCTAATACGCGCGTACTAAAGTTTATCACATGCTGATTCCCATCATTAACCCTTCGAAAAGCGTACACTTGTTTTTGGGAATCATTCGTCAAGGCGATTTTTTAGTTAAGTGAAGCTTTTCTTCGCGAAATTGGGCGAAAATCTGTCACCACCTACTTCACTTTTTTAAAACATTTATTTTCTATCGTATTGAAGGCTGATCAACTTTCGTTCAACTAAAGTTTAGCTCGTATGCTTATTATTCCTATGTAATTAATTTAATATAACTTGGTTAAAATCAATTTTACAAAAAGAAATAGGGCTTGCTACCAATCCTTAGCACGAGCTGACGACGTTTCATAGGTTTTTGAAACTCGCGGGTTTTTTTGAAAATCGATGTTTGATGCCTTTAAACCCTAAGAAATCCTTTGTTTCTAATAATAATCCGTTGTTTGTAGAAAGATCGATAAGCGCTATTAAATAATTTAAAATTTAAACCTTTCGCTTCCTGGCGCCCTTGCTGCACTTGTAGAAGCCGCGTACCTTGCTGCCGAGGCCCTTCTTGAGTGCACGGGGGATGATGTACTGAATGGAACGACCACGACTACGTTACAACAAATAAATAGAAATAATAGATATTCACACCACAACAGCATTACGGTACTTTACGATGCTAATGACGGACGTGGATGCGAACGGAATCGAGGTGTCTGCTCTTCCCAAAATCTGCCAGAAATCATTAAAAAAATGCTGCAACTTTTTTCGGTTATGCGAGATTTTTAAAGTTGCTATTGCGCCGAAATTAAGATTTTAAAATCCCTCAAAACTTGAATACTACCGTACGTAAAGTGTGATACTTTAACGCATACCTGCCGTTTTAACGGGATTTTACGATATTTTAAAGGACGGTGGAAGGCACGGCTATATGGATTCGCTAGCTGTAGAATGAGATGACGGTCTCAATAAAATACAAAATAAATTGCAAATTGCAAAAACAAGGTTCAGGAATTTCTTAGATTAACTTAATATTAACTGAGGAATAACAAGGATCACTAAGCAAACCACGGGAATTTTTCCTATTGGACTTATTTTAAAAGCCACTCAGCCAAATTATTCTCTATACAACCCTGCTCATATTACCGCCAATCAAGCTTTTCTATCTCAGTGAAAGCATGAAACGTATGTTTCAAATTTTGTTAATTTTAAATCATCGTTATCACCACTTTAATGGATGGTTGCAAACCGTTTCAAACACTATGATGTTTTAGGCTTAGAAAATCGCAATATTCCAGTTAATGCTTGGAGATCCATTGTGTTGGCTTAATTTTTTGGGGAAGCCGCAGCAGACACCTCGATTAAACAGTGGCCAAATTACGGGCTAAAAATACTAATTTAATTCCATTTAATATGGAATTTTTGAGATAAAATAGTAAGAATGCAGCAGAAAAATATATCGCTCTTAAAAACACAGTAATCACTGGAAAAATGCCGTAATTTGGCCACTACCGTTCGCCACGACAGCCAATGCACATGCAAATTTCTGGATATTACGAGTTATACAAGCTCTATTATTCCCACCAAAAATTTCGGAATAACCCTATGATTTGAAAGATTTTCATTTAACTTTTTAATTTAAAAAAAATAAATTTGCTCCATTTCACGACAATATTACAACGTGCGTATTGGATATTTTCGTATCGAAAAATTCGTTTTTAACGATGTTAAGATTGAAAATACCTTATCGCCGCCCAGCCCGAGATCACACAAACACTTGTGGACCATCTTTTCCGGTTTTCCGGAAGCGAACAACCGGATGATGTTCTTGATCGGAATCTTCCGCCGGTCGTTCAGCGACAGGCACAGGAAACGCCAGCTGAAAATGGGAGTTTTGGAAATAATTATATTTCTAAGGGTTTTAATCGAATTTTTATATTTGCCCGTTGCTCATCAAATTTTTCGTCTACGCATCAATGTAATTAAAAAGCAAAAAATCTGTGTGCGGCTATGAAACATTGAATTTTTTGATTGACCTGGAATTGACACTATTTAGCTGCTCTTGCCTGCTTATCACCTTTGGGCCGAAACATAAAATTTGTGACTGGTTCTTTTGCTGATTTTAATGCCTTATTTTTCGAAACATAGATTATTAGGGTATCCTACTAAATATAAAAAATAGTGTCTGTGTGTGTGTGTGTGTGTGTGTGCATTTGCATGGAACTTCCGTCCGTATGTTCCAGTCGTATCTCAATAGGGAAGGAAGTTAAGGGTACATATGATACGTCATTAGGTGCGTAATGGTCATGACACGACTGCACGCATCTGAGATTTTTAAAAAACGGCCGTTTTCGATATTAAAATTAAGTTTTTGTGAAAATCTCGCTCAGCCGCTTTGTTAGGAACCAATTAGCATGCACCGGAAGTGGGGGAAGTCTATATAATGGGGGAGAGGACGCGCTTTTCATTTTTTTGCACAGGAATCCAGGATTTTATGCAAAGTGATGAAGCATGGGGGTTAGACGGGGGCCAGGGTTGAAAAGTCGCGAAGCGGCTTTTCAACCCTGGTTTTATTCTAATTTTTTTATTTTTAGGCAATTAGTAAAGTACAGCCAGTACAGCCGGTACAGCCGGATAGAAAGAGTGGGCAGAGGGAGAGAGCGCAGATATTTTTCTCTGCGTCTCTCGCCCCTTTCCATATAATCTCGAAACGGCTGTACCGGCTGTACCGGCTGTACTTACAAACAGCCTATTTTTACACTTTCGTAATCAAGGGTTCCAGAAATAGCTACTAACAAAAACATTAGATGACGAGCGTTTTTAGAGAGCAGTTTGTAGATCATTAATAACCAAAAAATCATACAAATTGTTAATTGTACTGAAACATTGAGTTTCATCTCGGAAACTGAACTTCGGATGAATTCCCATTATTTAGGTCTCGATAATTGTTTATCACGTTGGAGCCGAAACATGACATTTCTAAATCGCTATGCGCTGATTAGCTTGCCTGATTTTTACATTATACTTTTCAACGGCTTTTTATCGGATTTCTGATTTTTATCATGAATCCTACAATCAATTATTCATGCTACCATAATCGCTTATCGTTCGAAAGGCGAAACATGAAATTTTTGGATTGTTTTTATTTAACCGGTTCAAAAATTATCTTTTTATCGTGATCTTAAAGCCCCACGGATTCACGAAGCTTTTTAAGCTTTTAACAAATTGCTTTTAGGCAACGCGCTGAAGTCACACTAATTATAGGGTTAGTATTTGAAAAAAGGAGTGTTATTTAACACTGAATTTTAAAATATCATGCTTGCTCTAGGTATTAGTAATTTCATGGCATATAATTTAGAGTCGAAATTTTTTGATATCTTGTAAGTTTAAGTGGTCAAATATTGAAGATAAATATATCTGTTTCTCAAAAACTCACTATTTCATGAGGCTCGTCGTCGGGCAGACGTGCTTGATTTTGAGGCGGGCCAGAATGTCGTTGAGGCCGGAGCGCCAGATCTAAATAAAATTCGGTTCAAAATGATAGTTAGACATTATTTCAATGCCAATTTAATTTTGGTAAGTCTATAACAAATGCATGCATTAAAAACGCAACAAAATAATTAAGAAAATTCTGCCGCGAAAAAAGACGTTTCACTTTTAGCTGAGTTCAAATTTGAAATCTGCCAATTGACCCTGTTTGTCGCAGGCTTACCTTTGCTGTTTCCACATCCTGGGCCACCAAATAGATGGACTGCACGTTGACGAGGTCCTAAGAGAAAATTAGATACTATTTGTTATAAATATGTCATTTTTCATAAATTATATTAATTGAACATTAAAAACGAAATATTAAATTACAAAGTATTCAGTATCAAATTTGTTTTATTCATCATCAATATCCATAAATTGTTTCCTATCCGTTCTATGAAGTAAAATTCCATGAAAAAATGCGATGAACAATTTTAAAAACTTGTTTCAGCGATATGAGAGATCATGGTTTATTATTTTATTTTTAGTTCATAACTCGTGCTGGCTGGTAAAACCAATAAATCTTCATTGCCTAATATGTTTTCGTTTCCGTAAAACCGTCTTTAAAAATATAAAATGTTATGTAAATAACGAGGCCCCTGTATAAAACCGGGTGTTTCAGCTAAATTTCACGGTCCGCTGGTCTCAAAGAACACATTACCAAACGACAGATGCATTATTTTTTAAAAATGCGCTGAATATTGTAAGATTGTTCCAAGTGTGAAATGGCTCCAGTTCCAACCAACATCGATCAAAAATAGGGTTCCGCCTAATCGAGATAAAAAAAGGCGCAAATCAATCCTTTTAAAGATTGTGTTTCAATTAACCGATACTTTCCGTAGGCGCATGGGTCCTTAATGCCTATACCTGTTTTGGTATCTTTTGTTTTGAATAAACAAATGCAGTGTAATTTTTAGATTAGCCCAATTGAGAAATGGCCCGTATTTCTACCAAGAAAAACACTATTAAAAAGGATTCCGCCTACTCGAGGGCAAAATACGCAAAAAACTCTTTTAAAAATTGGGTTTCAATTTCACTTCTACTTTCCGTAAGATTATTGGTCCTCAATAACACTTTTCGTTTGACTCCTTACCTGCCCAAAAGTGATCCAGACAGTCCGTTCCTCAAGTGTCTCCCTCGGTGGCCCCCTTTGGTCCAGCTCGAACGCGACGCGACCGTCTTTCGGCTGGCCGGCCGGGCGGGCTTCCCATACCTTTAAAAGAGGTAGATTAAAATATCAAAATGGAAAATTAAAGAAGCGTCAATCTTGTTCCCATCATCGGAGTAAATGTAGATCAGCCCTTTGCGGAAAATTAAAACACATGTTTTTAACCCCTCGCATTTTTCTTGCAGTTCCCACTGTTTCAAAAGCAAAGGATTTGCCACGGATTTAATAGGACTTTTAAGTGACTTTTTTTAAAACTAAATCTGGCCGAAAAGTTATGGGCGGATGTGGAAAAATTCGAAAAAAACGAAAGCAAGCAAACCCATTTCCAGAACACCTTTGCGAAAAATTGAAACGTTTTTGAGCCATCGCGTAGCAACATACGTAAATCCGAGGCTTATTAATGCAACGAATTTGCGCACCATTTTGCTATACAGCAAAACACAACTTTTTCACGTTTTTTTCGCGTTTTCGCGACTACAAATCCCAGGGTAATAAACTAAAAATTTTTGAAGTAGGCTTGTGCTCTAATTATTTGTTTTTTGAGCTAGGAATTAATTATTAGCGTAAAATACGTTAACATGCACTAAGTACTGGAGGAGTACCTGCCTCAAACTTTCCGAGCTATTTTACAAATGATAAAACACACATTTTTCAAAAGGCATGTTTTTCAGGTTTAGTTTCAGTCTTGTAGATTTAACGTTTTGAATTACTTTTGATTTTAAATATTAACTTCGCAATTTGTTTAAATATATATTTTTTAGTTCTTTTAATTTTTGCACACCTGCGCCAAATCAAGAACAAACGCGTCGCGGCCATCGATCATCCAGTGCAGGTAGAACCCATACTCGTCCACCCGCACCAGCGCGTTCAGCTCCAGGCATGTGCTGTCCTGCAAAAAGAATTTTAGAATTTGTGTGACGTTTAGCATATTTATTTTCATGAATATTTAATAAGATTTATTCGGAAAATTATTATACTTTAAAAAAATTTTTTTAAACTTATGCGGAGTCCATAAATCGAATCGAATTGCGCAGTACAAATTTTGCGGGTGGGCACAATATTTTGAAACTCGTTTTTTCGCATATGTTTTTTATTACCCCCTTTCTCTGCAAACATTCCAAAAAATTTTTTAGGTAAGTGAAGAGCCGTGGATTATTCAATTCGGTCCAACGGTTTTTCCAAGATTTTTTGAAACCCTCTATTTCCAAAAGCAAAAATTGGCAAGCGAAAACTTGGATGTGTCATCAAGATGATGAAATTTGAAATCGGAACAGTAACAAAGGTCTCTTATTAGAGTTCTTTCTTTTCTAAGTAGCTTACGCGAGACAGGGTACTAGACATCAGCTTCCTCTGATCCGGTACAAATTATATGATTCATAGTTGTCTGGCTAGTCTAATATAATGGCTAATATAGCAATTCGTGTTCATTGATATCCACAAAGCTTGCCAACATCTAGGGCGATACTGATGCAAAGAGGGCAATATCTCCTCTAATCTTCTAATCATTAAAAATCACTCTTGATTGAGATTTTGTAGCCGTAACTACCCTTGAATTTTGAGGGTGTTTCAAAAATTCTCCCAGAAAGAGTGACGCTCGATTTTTTTCGGTCACAGGTTTTCAATGTCATTTTTAAAAATGAAAAAGAACATTTCAAATTTCAGTGTTGCGATAAAGAGTTTCAAAAATTATTAAAGTTAAAAAATTTTGAACATGGCGAATGACCTTCGACGACTACCATTTTCAACAATTTTGAAAAATGGCTAGCGCCATGATTAATTAGTTTGGGTTCAAAAAATGTAAAGTACCGTATACTTCTGGCTTTTCTGCTGTCACACACCCTTTAAATCCAATGTTAAAATTAAATTTGATTTAAGGTAAAAATAAAAGCAAAAACCCACATCTTCATACTTGTCGAAAAGGGTGCCCTGCGTCAACGTATGGGGTATCGGCGGTCTCCAGTGGAATTGATACTCCTTTGCCATAATTGTGGCTCAGTATCGTGGCGTACTGCAGCGTACGGTAGCGTACTGTAGCGTAGTCTCCCTACGGGGAGGTGGGGGCTTCCACGGCCCCCCAAATCGCATCCACGACGCGACGCGCCTCTGGACAGTACTGTGCGCGTACGCGTACAGAATCACGTCCTGAAGCGTAAGAAATCGGCGACTACGCAGGTGGCCTAGCGACACGTACACACTGTAGACGCCCCGCCGACGCCACGCTGATTTCGGGCGGGCTTGTCGCTGAAAGATGCCGATTTTGATGGATTTTTTCAAATACAAAGCATCGAATTAAAACGAGTTGAGACGTACGTCGTATTTCCAAGAATGCAATAATTCAAATAAATTAAAAAGAAGCTAAGAGTGAATGATCTGTTTACAGGAAATCCGCACATGCAATTCCTGAAAAAAATTTCACAATGCCCATAATTTTTTCGAAACACATTTTTGGATGACAAGAAAAATACGGTTGTCGAAATATAATATCCGAAGAAGATAAATGAAAACTGAACGCTTGACTGAGTTTATACGAAGATAGAACATAATAAAACAAATTTTATATATCAACTATAATAAAAAAGTAGCGGTGTCTGTGTGTGTGTGTGTGTGTGTGTGTGTGTCCGGTCCCGGATTCAACTCGAAGGGGAAAGGAGCTAGAGCTTAGGTCTCTTCGGATTCGGATAGAGCGTGGTCAGAAACCCCCAAACTGATCAAAAAATTACAAAAAAGTTTTAATTTAAATTATTAAAATTAACTTTGAAAGTGGCGCCTTAATAAAACGAGTGGGGGCCCCTCTCCCGGCTGGCCACGCCCCCTTTTCCCCGGCCCCTCTTCACCAGGCTCTTTCCCGCGCCCAGCTAGCTTTTTAAGTTATTTTAATACTTTTAATACTTTTTAATTATGTTAATTTATTATTTAAATCATTTAAAGTATCTGAAGCCATCAGGAAGGTATGTAGGTAGTTTTTGAAGGGGATTTCAGCCATGGGGGGTAACTGAAGCCATCAGTGTAGGTATTGCCATGAAGGCATCAGCGTAAGGTAGGGATGAAATTTGGTGGTGTAGAATGGGGGGTAGCCCGAAGTCCAGCCGGTTACAGTCGCGAAGCGGCTGTAATCGGCTGGTAGAAGAGAATACAAAAAAGGCTTCAAAATAAAGCATCAATAATACTTAAACGATCTTTCGCAGTACACGTATTTTTTCGAAGCATGTTTCTTGTGCGAATCGGGATTCGAGGATTGAGTGAATGCCATTTTTCATGCACAAAAGGGATTTGAAAATTCTAAACCGTAAGCGGATATTCATTTTTATGCAATAGGATGGAAGGTTGGGAGTTGGGGGAACGAGAATTTACTAGAACCGACCAGAAGACCGGATTTTCAAAAAAAAATGGTCGGACTTCGAAGAATCCTTCGAAAAAATTTGATTTTTATAAGAAGCTGAAGGTTTAAAAAAGAAGCCGAAAAAGATATGGAATTCCGCAAACGAATTTCGATATAGACAATCATCTTTGTTGAAACATGTTTTTTCCGCTGTGAATTCCAAAAATTCGTATAAACTCGTATCTAAATCAACCCACCCGGAACTACGAGTAAAAAATATGTTTGGTCTAAGTTCAAGGGACAGAACGGCGAGTTCAGTGCAATTCCATAAGGGCAAGTTCTTGAAACGATAATGAGCCGGATGAAGATGTCAACGGGAATCGGGATTAAGGCCTAGGTTTGGCCATCGATTTCTATAGATTTAACGCGAAAGCAACGCGGGTCTCCTTTTCCAATCGCGTAATCGACTACGGATTTACATTGGAGGCACAAGAGTGCGCGTTGCGTCGGAAGCCGCAAGTTGCATGGAAAATCAATACAAAATTATTTACTATGATAGATATATCATTTCTTAAAAAAGACACAAAAAATAGCAATAGAAATAGCTTAGGAATTATGTGTTTCATTGGATGAACTAATGCAGCAATTCTGGATTTTAATAATCATTGCGGATCACGAAACTCCTAGCCGACCAAAGTGTAGAGTACAGGGTGGTCCATAAGTATTGTCGTTTTTCAAGGCGTCATATCTTTGCCCACTGAGCTATTTGAGCCATTTAGCCAAGTAGGTTAGGTTCAGACAAGCCTTAGAAACCACTTTGCTTTACAAAGTTTTTTGGAATAATGGTTTTTAAGCGAGATAATTTGTTTAAAGTGGGCGACAAAAGGTTGGGGTGCGCCGCGCCAGAATTTCGGAAAGAAGGGCTCTAAATCCACCGATTGAGAGCCAGGATGTTTTTTCCAGCGTGTTTATGGTAGCTTCAGCATTGTTCTGCATTTTCCCAAATGGAAATTTAACCATCTTGTCGCTTGAAGGAGCTATGGCCTCCGCAATTTTGGACGAAAATGCGCAAATTCAGAGCATCCCGTCATTTTTTAGTTTTCGAATTTTCATTTCTCCCTAGAGCTACCCAGGGGCAATCCTATATGGTATTACTATGCTACCTGACGTCTTCTTTCCAATGGCATATTGAGCTAGGCTCCGGTCACTTTTCAGACTTTGATTTGAACTAAAATTGGCTGGCGTATGCCATTAGACAAAAATCTTGATTTTCTTGAACATCATGTGTAATCCTGCGCTTAAAATTTGGGAATATTTGAAAAAAAGCCTTAGCTATACCCAAAAAAATTGTCACAGGTTTCTCAGCTTTCTAGCAGCCACGATCTCAGTTTTACATACGGGGTAGGCCGTGGGCGGCGCACCGGGTTCCCCGAAACTTTCAATAGCGCTTGCTCAAAAACCGAGATGCGAAAATTTTTGTTTGGAGGTTCTGCTAGCAGAGTTTTACTTGCTCTTTTAAATGCAAAGGAAAGTTTAATGACTACATAATTGTTTTGTCGCCAGCGGAGCCTCTCAAAAGCCATTTTTAAGCTGAAATTTGGAGGTTCTTTAGAAACTATGTGCTATAAGCTCCAAATCTCAATACGATCGTGCAATCTATCCTGCCATCGGATAGAGGAGAAAAAACTGCATAAGGCATACGCTCAACTAGCCAATCGCACACGGCCCCGATTAGATACAGCCGGCCAAAAGGCGCGACAATACTTATGGACCACCCTGTATAGCATTTAAAGTATTTAGTTTAAGCTTTTTTAGGTTTTAGATTTTAGTTTTTATAGCTTTAATGGTTGAAATTCGTGTTTCATCAAAAACGGAAGCATTTTTGAGAGATGGGAGCGTTGTTGGGGGCTGCCCGGAATGGCGGGGTGGCCCCCTGAAATCAGTGTCCCGCAGCGCTTGATAAGCCCCGTACGAGTCGTAAAATACGGAATTGCATATGGTGATAAACTGCAAAAAAGCAGGGAGGAAAATTCGGGTCGTTTTCAAGAGGAAATAGCGAGAAAGAAATGGTAAAGAAGTAGTCATCCGCGGGCTTGGAGGAGCGACATTTTACAAAGATTCCGTAACATTCCAGGAAAACGTACATTAATTCGCCATGAAATACGGAAGAAAGAACAGAAATCTCAATGGTAAATTGAGCACCAACACCTAAAAATATAGTTGGTAAAAATGAGTTTCAAAAAACTTCTTTACCGGCAAAATTTAAACATGCTATCAATGGCGTGTATTTCACTAGATCTCCTGACGAATCGTCAAAGCCGTATGTTTAGGGGATTTCTACAAGGATCGTTTAAGCTATTATTGAATTCTAGGATTCAATTGAGGTAATAAGGCGGATTAAAAATAAATTCATGCTGAAGACACTAGTAATCGTGGAATACAAAAAAAAACAAATTTTGAAAATTAAGAAAGTTAGTTTTGTGACAATTTCAGTATTATGAAAAATTTCCATTGTTAGTAGCTCTGGGCGCGAAACGGAACAAACATCGTTCGGAGTATCGGGAAGGGACCGAATTTTTTCCTAGAATAGAGGACAGCGACACTTAATAATTTTATAATCATTACTTTAAAGGTTAAACCTAGCTAGATTTCGAGCGATCGATATTTTTTGCAGTTTTCCACGAAGTTTTTGAGGACAGGAGGACTTCAAAAGATACAACCGTATGCCTAAAAAATCTAGAGAAATCTGAAGATATAATTTTCAGAAAAATTTCAATACCGGAAAAATTCGGAAAAATTACTGTTATCGCGCCCTTATTCACGTATGTAAATTCGTGGTATATAAATTCAAGAATTGACATCAGTTGCCCTAACAATGAGGTTTCACCGAGTACGCAGCGGCACTTGTTAAGCAGAAGGTACAAAACATTTTATGATCGGTAGTTAAAACTTATATCGGTCTTTGAGGTGCTTGCTTTAAATCGGGAAATACCAATTAAAATCGGCAGAAATTGGTGCTAATTTCAGAAAACTTTCTCGAGCGGGAGGAAGAAGAGCCGGAGCGGAAGAAAAATAAATTAGTCAAAAACAAAGTTTCAAAAATGTGTGTTGCGGAGCCATGAAACATATCATCGACTAGATGAGGAGTATGCGCGGAAGATCCCGAATTCCTTATCTAATGTCGCAACAATTAATTTACTAAAACAAACCCAATAAAAATGGCTGGCCGACAGCGAGTGGCCAGGAATTTGGCGACTACATATTTGCCGAGGGGGGGGCGACAATCAGCTTTTGCCCACCGGATTAGCGGGGCGTCACTGTCTTGACTCTATTTTTCCCTTTTTAAAGGGTTGCGGAAGTGGTGGGCCGCTTTTCATAAAAAGGCCATTAAAAAACGAAAAATTATAAACGCCAAATTTTCAAACTAAAAATGAAAAATCCGATGACGCTGCCCAAACTTAAGAAAAAAAATCTTTTATCCATGTCTAAAACACATTTTTTTTAATAGTAAAAGCTTTATAGCAAGTTAGGAAATAGTCCATAATAAATGAAATAAAAATATATAATTGATATATGGCAATAATAATAGACGGAAATAAGTGAATAATTAAATAAGCTCTAATCTTTGGGACGCCCGGGCAAAATTTTGAACGACATCGATAAC